AAAGCAAAGCTAAATGGCTAACCATTAATCAGCTTGTGATTTTATCAAGGCTTTTCTGACATCGTAGTTCTGGGTCTTATACTGGTATCAGAGGAAAGAGTGTCTTTGTTCATACAGTGGGAAGTTAAGCGTGTTACTAACTGCATCCAAGTGAATTCTATTCATTTCAGTCTATGTAAGAAGGTGCTGTATAAGACTTAGGATTTGTTTATTCTTTCTAATTTTACTACATTTTTCCCATATAGCATCAAGGAACTCCATGGCAGTCACATTTTCAGGTTTAGATTTGCAATTGCACGAGCCAAATGTGGGAATATCATGACTACACACTGATATCCCAACACATGTTAAAAAATACCCAGTTCTCATCTAAGGCACTTTAACATGCAATCAGAACAAGCGATCATATGGGGAGGGCAGGCAATTGCAAGGCACAACTAAGCACCTTGGGTAGATGAAAATCTGGCCTCTAATCTGGTGCTTGAATCCACATCTGAAATGGGAATCACAGTAGTATGTTCCTAGCTCCTTCTTACGCACGTTTTCAGTGTTGTGAAAGTAGCAAGTGGGGTTTGAGGTTCTCACAAATCTGGTGGTTGATGGCAGAAGTGCGTCATTCAGCTGTGAGCTGTTCAGGTTTCCATACAAAACATAGTTTCCTGCTCGGACAACAGTTGTGAATTTATGCTAATCCAAACCTGGCGTTTCTCAGGCTATTCAGTCAAATGAATGCTTTGGAGCTCAAATGTGTGTGCCATAAGAACACCTTATAGAGAAAACAGCTACCTGGAGGAGTTGTAGTTAGCACTGAAAGAACTTTAGGGCAGAAGGTCCTCACCTTTCAGTGCGAATATGTTCTCTAGCACAAAAAAGAACTAATGAAGAGAAAAAAGAACTAATGAAGAGAAAAAAGGAAGTGGAAAGCTCGAAGTGCATGCCTTTAACAAGAAAGCAAATAAGGAGGGAACAAAAGAGATAAAAGAACAGGTTAAAATCAGCAAAAAACCTCTTTGGTTGCAGAAAACAGGGTTTGCAGTGGCTTAGTACAAGATGATCCCTTAATTTTTTTACTTTTCCTTTTGAAAGATGTAAGTGCCCCTGGAATTTAAGAAGGGAGGGTAGTTTTATAGCTATTACAGAGCAGGATGAAAGGCACATTACCCACTAAGGTTTTGTCCTCCTTGAAGCCTCTGGCCACTATCAGAGACAAGATTATTGCACCAGATAGGTGGACCGCAGCCTAATCCAGTTTGGCGTGTATTTCCCTGTGACACATGCAGACGCTGCCACAGAGAGGAGACTGGTATATCCTGCTCCGAGCGTGCTGTGTCTGCATTTGCCCTCTCTGACTTGAGAAAGCCATGTGTCTGACTTGCCAAGTGTGAACAGGAAGCTTTCCTGGGTGAGTGCCCTTTGCTTTTACAGAGATAAGTATTTACCGAGGGGCAGGGAGGGGAGTCTTAGACTGTTAGTGTGGCTGCAGTAATCACCACTCCCACCACCCCATTCCAAACAAAGATATCCAAAGATGGGATTTCAGGGAAATGACTCTAAAGAAGATTTTGCTGCTTAGAGCTGTGCCAGCAGTCAGGGACTTTTCAAAGACTAGTTTGCAGTAGAATGAAAACCACCTTCCACAGTCCTACAGTTACTGTTTAGATCAGCAAAACCCATACAGTTGTTTTAAGGATCTGCAAGGAGGGACAGCACCGGAGCTAGCCTCATGAGACATCATGAAAGGACAGTGACCAAGAAAGGTACCAAAAGGGGGACAACAAGAGAGGAGGAGGTGGCAGATGCTGCAGCAGATGCACTGCAGCACGGAATAGGTGGTGGCAAGGGAGGCTGAGAAGGGACAGGGAGCCACAGAGTCTGCCTGAACATGCATGAAAGTGCAAAATGGGAGACACTAAAAACGAGAGTGGCAAGCACAAGGCGAAGGAAATAGGAATGTGATAAGGGCAGTAGTAGCCTGTTCAATTAAAAAGGATTCAGCTGACATCATGCAGGAGATTTCCATCCCACGCAGAGGAATGGTGATGACATCCCCAGCATTACGATGTAAGGATGAGGGGTGGAGACGCCGTGTCTCCCTGTCAGGAGGCACTGAGCGTGCCTGGGAGAGGGCAGGGGCCTCTCCAGGAGCCTGGAGTCCCACCTGCACTGGAGGCAGCATGACACATGGCTGCCTGTCCAGGTCCAGGCTCATTCTACCCACTGGCATTTTGAGTTGCTGGCATTTGTGTTGAAGTAACTCTGAAAGATCCCAACGAAGGATTATGCAAGTCTATTCAATTCTGGAAAACCTGAGAGACCCACTGTCCCCACCCAGCGAACTTTATCTTCCATGTCTATACAATATGCCGTAGGAAGAAGGCAGAAAGTAAGGCAAGGAGAGATTTGGTTGTGCTTTGACTAATTAATCAAGTGAAATTCTCAACACCACTTTCTGGACTGGTGAACAGTTATTAGCCATTATGGCTGAAAAGCCTAGGCTCTGATGGTCAAACAAGGAAGGACAGTTATCATGCCCATGACTGGTTATGCAAGATGGACTTGTGCAATTCATCATCTCAATGTCCCAGTGTTTCACTATATTTCATGTGCAAATAATTTGATATCCAAAAGTCACCTGGGGTTGTACGGTTTTTCCTGGCATTCAGTATATCTTACTTTCTGGAAAGTCTAAGCACAAGCACATTGAGAGCACTGCATCTTCACTTTGAATAACAGAAGCAGCCTTTTGGGAGAAAGAGTAAAGGTAACAGATTTTCTCTTCATCCAAATTTCCCCTTTCCAAATGAGGGATTACAAACACAAAGGTCAGTAAAATTGGTTTGCACTGAAACAAGTTATGTGTTGACTGTTACAGGCCTGAGAAAGGGTCACACATACATGCTCTTCAGAATAAGACATCAAAGTGGGATAGCCCCATTCCTGCAAAGAGGCATGTCCTTAACCTGTACTCCAGCAGCATTATGTCATGTACAAGGTCAGGCAAGCACATTCCTTGGGGAGGTTCTTCCCTGTCAGCGATCTCACGTTCCACACTAGTTTGGGCAGAGGAGCTATTCACATCCATGTATTTTTTAAACAACTTTATTAAACAGTTTATATGCATTTCACTTCTGCCTACCCTCTCCTCTTTCCTTCTGTTTTTCTGCATGTGGACACCCACATGTTAAAAGAACTGAATCTTGAAGGCCTGCTTTTAGTTCAGAAGGCTGGGCAGATTGACTTTCCTGAAGTCTAGAGCCAGACTGGACTGACATGTAGGCAGAATACTGAATCTAGAGACCCTGCGTGATTCAGAGGAGGGTTTCAAAGCTTCCAAAACTATCTGGATGGCAATGACTTCAGTAGAGAAACAATTCAGCGGAGAAAAGGGGTGCCCAACGAGTTACTGAGTGAGCTTTCTGTCATCCTAAGGAATCCTTTAATGCTCAAAGCTCAAAAGGGTTTATGAATATTATCTACTCAAAACAAAAGAGAAGGTGAGCAGCTCTCTTCCATGAAATATGCACATGCTGCAAATGCTCATCTGGGTTATAAATGCCTCTTTTAAAGCACCAAGGAACTTTTATTTCCTTGGTTGCCATCTAGTGGAAACTCTGCTGTCTGCATTGCATTACGCATAATAGCATTTCCATCTCGGAGCCCATTGGGCTGTGCAGATGATGGTACCATTGAAAAGAGGGTCAATTTACCACGCATGTTTTGTGCTTTCTAAATTAAAGCAAGGTCTTGCTAGGTCAAGCGATTACACAGTAAGTAGCAGAACAGGACACGTATTTCTCTTCACTGAGCACTATATGGTACTAGCAAGAGGTGATGTATCAGGATAGAAGGGCTCAGGTCATAGATATATTCATGATGGGCAGTTACTGTGCAAATGGCCTGGTGCCAGCTAGGTGGAAACCACATTCTAGGTCAATATGAATATATCTCAGGTGTATTTTCTTCACTTGGGACAACTGTATTGAACAGTTTAATGTTGTACTGTTTGAAGTTATAATAACTGCAGTGTGTTGCTGAAACAATGGGGTTATATATGGAAAAAATGCTATTGATTTTCTCAACTCACAGCTTGAGTTACCTGTGCCATTCCTTTGGGGTATCACGAGTCTCTGTAAGATGTTCTTTGAAAACATGGTGAAATGACAATTCCAATTCCTGAAAAGTGCCAGAATAATTCATTTTTGAGAGTGTTCGTTCATGTGGAGACACCACGGTGCTGGCTAAACTCCTGTGATGTATTTTCTTGCATCTTCCATGTATTTCCTTCCTTTGCTTTCCTTGAAGAATTTTATTATATTACACACACATAGTCCTTGAGAAAGCAGCTATGTTTCCAGCATTGCTCTATGCTTCCTTATATTGAAGTCCTGCCAGTGCCAAGCATTTTGGCACCAAATTAGTGTACCCACACCATGTGCTTGTATCTACTTGTCTCTCCCTTTCTCATCAGCAATAATTCACTCAATTTCCTTCCTGAGGAGGACAAGATTTCTCTTGCTGCCATCCTGATGTGCTTCACGTAGGGTGATTCAAGCCTTGCTGAAGCAATGCATGTTATTCAGGGGAGCCAGTGGTGATGTTGGAAAGCAAACAAAACCTCACTGTTCAGAAGCCTTGAGACATTATGAGCATCAGCAGCCCATACAGACAACTGATGGCAATTAGCCTCAGTACTGAAAAAAAATGGTTCTCTTTTGCCTTTAAGTAAAAATGTATGCCAAGAATTTCTAGAAATTTCCCAGATAATTTGCATAACTGAAAGCTTTTTGTAACTGCCCATGTCACTAAATTTCTGTCAGGGAAATTACATCAATTGGTAGATCTTGCCTAGTAATAAAGGAAGCTTATCTTTAGGACACGTGTTTTTAATATCATCTTTTTCTGCATAGGAAAACAGTATTGCTGAGGAGAAAAGCAAAAGTTCTGTCGAAAAAGCTTTGTTAATGTTTTTCCTTCTTCCTTTTTCTTCTTTTGAAACAAAGATATGCAGAGCCTTGAGAAGCTGCTGAGGGATGCAGTAATATATGGGCAGCCTCGAAGCCACCGAGCATGGAGAAAAATTATCATCCTCGTGGAGGGCATTTACAGGTATGTTTGTGCTTTAGAAACGTGAGTACTTGTTATCATTTCTGATGACACAATGAGTTATTGAGTGAAGTGGGCTTTGACTTTGAGAGAAATCTTAATGACAGTGGACATTCAAACATTCTGTGATCTTATGTTGATTTCCATTACATCAGTTTGAGCCTTGGATCCTGCAGCTCCAGATAGATCCTGTGTATTGTTCTGAATGATGATTTAGCAAGTCATCATGGAGTGGGAGATGTACTGTGAGAGCAATCCAGACCATCAGCTGGTGTATGTTGTCACAGCTGTGATAAAATCCATGGAGCTGTAGTAGGTGAGGAGTTTTGTTAAATGAGTAAGCTGAGTTTTCTAGAGTTGTTTGTTGTGCACAGGCAGATCAAAAGACAGCTACTCAGAATTAATTAAGTTCTGCATGCCCAGTTCTTACCGAGTTTTTGGAATCTAAAAACTCAAGCTGAACATAGGCCAAGTGATATCAGCACCTTTCTAGTAATTAGTGTCAGCTCTAATGGACTTGCAGTTTAACAGGAAAAACAATTAAAAGATTGGCTTTCAAGGAATTATCTAGCTCGAGTCCCTGGAGGAATTTGAATGAGAGAAGTGCCTTTGATAACCCATCAGATAATATAATCATCAATAATACCATGTAATTATAGAGCATCCTAAGTCAGATAGCTCCGGTTAACTAGTGTGGTGCATCTTACACCCAATCAGGATGACAAACCATCACTAGAGTTGGGCAGCAAAGCAGAGGCACCAGCCAGTCTCACCATCCTGGGATTCATCCTGGCAATCACTCAAGGCAGGCTGCTGGAGAGGCAACCATGGGGCTGGTGGATGGCACAGAGCAGGAACCTCTGGTGGACAAGCAGCTGGAATGGGAAGAGGTAGAGGTCATTAAGAGAAGGGAAGGGCTAAAGAAGCAAGGATCTGGACAGTGAGAGGGTTTGCAGAGATCTAGACAAGGATACTGTGGCAATGGCAAGAGGTGGGGGTAGGAGAAGGGTGGTTTGGGAAGTAGTGACATCTGCACCAGAGAAAAGGGAACCAGAACGATTCCTTCACAGGATGTGACATGGTTTATGAAAGCAATATTAGGCTTTATATGTAGGGATCATGTCAAGTGTTGCTGAAATACAGCTGGTCTTGGATGGGCAGTGGTTTATGCCATTTTATTGAGAAATTCTAGCACAGTTGAGCTGATTAGCTTTTTTTCATAAGGAATCCTACTACAATCTCTTGTCATCACAACTTCATAGTTCTCAGTGCTTTCCTTTCACTTAACATTTTCCATCTGTAAAGAGAGCAAATCAGTCCTTATCTAAACACCTGTCACTCAGAGCTGAAACAGGTCAGCAGCACATCAGCTGATCCAAAGCAGGCTGAACCTCTCCTTTCAACCAGAATAAACAGAGCAAAACTGCAAATAAACATAGCTTGGTACTACTAAAGGAAAACTCAGATTTAAGGACTTTGATCGTGCAGAAATTAAGTGGACCACCAACATTTTACTGACAAATGTTCCCATCAGTCACACGGCCTGCAGAAAATGCTCCAGCTGCTGAGCTTCACTCACTTTTAAATCCTTTACCCCGGATATTGACCACCAGAGAGCAAGAACATAGACTGTTGACACAGAAGCATAGAACAGTCTGAGCACTGGGAGAAACCCACTGTCAGATATTTGCAACTATAATAACTATAACTGTATTTCAAGGCCAGGTAGGCCAGAGTCTTTGGTGACATGATTTAGTGTGTGGTGCCCATGGCAGGGGGGTTGGAACTAGGTGATCTTGAGATCCTTTCCAACCCTAACTATTCTATGATTCTATGATTTCCAGATGTACGTTTGATATAGAGTTTCCTTTTCCTCTCTAGTTTTGCAGTTCATTTTCAAAGATTTCATTCTCAAAATTTCAAAGATAGAACACAGAATAAAAATATGTTAAATCCCTGAGAACCTCGCTAAAACTGAACCATGAAGGTCCTTCAGCCCCATAAGGGCTAAATAATGTTAAGACCACTCATGCCCTGAGTGTCTATGCTTGTGAAAGGCATGAACTAAAAGAAAAACAAAGCTCAGGTCTCCAATAGTCTCCCATTGGAAACTGGCTGCAGCAGTAGCTAGGCTGGTTGGTTGTTTTGTTGGTTGGTTGTTTTCATGGTGTAAGCAGATCACAAGTTGAAGATTGTAGTTTGGTTGCAAAGCAAGTCTGCTCTGACTGGAGGGAGAATACCACCACACCCCATCGTGCTGTGTCCTGGCATCACTGCCAACCCGAGATGCACGCAGCTGATCTTTGCTTATAGCATTACTGGCAAAAGGCTTAGGCCATGCAGTCTAATTCAGCAAGTAGCTAATAACATTTCATATACGAAAGAAAATATTAGAAATGCTCCCCTTTTTTTTTTTTTTTTAATGTGTGCATGTTCTTTCTTTTCTTGGCCCATGAGTTTTGAAAGAGGCTAAAATTTTCCAGCCCCACATTGGCTAACGCTATTTTCCTTCAAGGTTTGCCAGATGCCGAATTAACATCCATCCAGAGGGTTTAAGGGGAGGCAGAGTGTTGTTAATATATGCTTCTTACAATAGTTAATCCTGCTTGCTTTCTTTTTTTTTACCTTAAAGGGCTTAAGTTATGCTTCAGGGACAACTAATACAGAATTGAAATAAGTTGGTCAGAACTATTATCCAAGTTAAAATACCTTGGACTTGCAAGCATGGCTTGGCAAATTTTGTCAGAAATGCTTTTTCCAGAGATGTAGAAAAAACATTAAACTTTATTTTTTTCCTTCTTAAAAAAAAAAATATTACTATATGGGACACCATGGTCTTAGTATGATGAAGTTGATGGTATGGAAAAAGAAATTGCCTTCTGTTTCCATTAGGAGTAGTGAAAGTGTTTACACTGCGCACAAGCCTGGACTTACCAGCTGGCAGAATTTGAAAAGGGTCGTTGTTAGCCAACATGAGCATTTTTGGAAATCAGCTTTGTTTTTGAAACCAAAAGCCACAGATTTTGCTTGGTTACAACTGAAGGCAGAATTGGCCCCTTGACTTGGGAAGCTCTCAGGCTACATATCAAATAAATAGTGATATGTTTGTTTGCTTTTTAATGTTTCTATTATCTTAAAAAGAAAAAAGTCATCAGGAGTAATTGTAACTACTAGTGAAAGCTGGTTCTTAACTTGGACTGCCCTAGGAGCAAATATATTCCGTTTGCATTCCAAGCTGAGAGAGATCATCTAGCTATCAATCTTCAGCATAAAAAGCATGAACAAGTTCTGGCAGTGTCCAGGGCACAAGTTAAAATGACTTGCAAAATCACATTTCTATTATTTAAATTTCCAGTTAATGTTTTCTTGGCTTCTACCATTTCCAGTTCAGGATTTATCAGTTACTGTGTTCTGATACGGTTTGTGGTAGGCTTCTGCTCTCTTGCACACATATTTAACTAGGAGTCAGATAGGCCAAGACTCAGGGCAGGAGTTCTGGGGCACCAGAAACTGATCAAAACCAATTGGTTTTCATTTGTTTTTTCCCTGCTTTCAATTTAATTTGGGTATTTTCCCTTCCAGCTAAGAAAATAGCTCTCTGATAAGTTAGATATTGTCCAGTGCCTGTTCACGTGCATTAGAAGTTCCTTGGGATTCAGTACCATAGGAAATTTATCAGGGCTATTTTTTATTTCCTGAGATTAAGTGACTGGACTTCCAGAAAAGAATGGGGTAACATGTAATGTCTTTGGCCAGGAACCAGCATTAAAGGTTAACATTTCTATCATTTCAGTATATGGGCTTATATTTGAGAGCAGGGTTGGAAGATTTCCTTACAACTATTGCCCTGAACTACAAAATAGAGATTGCTCTATGAATGTGCAAGGTTTATGTAAGAAAACAATACCTAAAGTAAACATTAACATGGAATGCATACATCTTGGGAGTAACAAGTCAAGAAAGGAAGGATTTTCCCAATTAGAAACTAGCCTGAAAGGAGAACAGAGTTTTAAAATGTTGAAAGGATAGTGGTGCTGTAAGACATGTTTAGAGGCACTGAGTGATGCAAATAGGAAGAAAATAATGGGTTGAATACCAGTAAATTATTTTCCTGACAGACAAAAAATGAATCTGTGGTACCACAGTAGGATGTAGAAAACTCTTTTTCCCAAGAAGTTTCAAAAGAAACTGGACAAAACCCATCAACATCCTGTCAGGAGCAAGCCTGTGTTCCAAGCAAAGAGACCATCACAAGTGCACACTTCCTGTCTCTCACAGCACCTGGCTCCACAATTCATCAGGAAGAATCTCAGTGGTTTGGTAGGGATTGAATCAAGCTTCAAAACTCGGTGATGCCAAAATTTTGGATTACCTCCTCACGTCTGGAAGTAGATTCAAACTAAGTGTGTATTGAAGCAAGCTTTTGTGCCTGCCCACCAAACAAGGGAGATGAGGGTCAGCTGCATGTAGTTTTACATCCCTGCCACCAAGCTACAAAGACAGGTCCCAATAACACATAATGAGAACATCTGTCCTGGGCAGAGCCATCTTATGTTCATCTACATCCACCTTTTCTGATGTGCCCTGTGTACTTTAGCAGCTCTGGAAACAGATCAATAGCTTTGTAAAAGTGACACAACCAGACTGAGACAGAACAATTACAGTTCACTGCTGTTTCTCCGGTTTAAACTCAGTCAACATCAATATCTACTGAAGGATCCAGTAAACTTTCCATTTGGGCTACCCAAGGGGTTATGTGAAGTGAGCTTTATCTTGGAGCAATTCTAAACAGAGCAGCATCCATATCACAAACCATCTACCAGGGTCAAAATAGAGACCAAGAACAGAGCAGGCAGTGGAATTGCTCTCATCTCTGCCATCAGGAGGGCTGAGGCCTGTTTGAATGGCAGCACAGAAAGCATACACAAAGTCAACAGTGCTTTATCTACTCTATGGACACTTCAAGGCCATGTTAGGATCTCTGTCAACTATTGTAACATTTATGTCAGCTAGCATCTTTCAAGAGCAGTAAATCAACACTGAAACGGAATGCAAGTGCTTTCTTTTGCTAAATAGTTTAGAGTTCAAAGAGAATTCTCCTATTCACATGAGAAAGAAATGTTTCTCTGAGTTCTCTTAATGGTTAAGTCTTGCACTATCCATGTACCAGCTCTATGTATTCTGGGATTCAGCAACAACACAAATACTCAGGAAATCAATCTCTGTGTTTTTAATTTACTATTTTCACTCTTTTTTAAGATAAATGATCTTTCCCATCTGGAACTCCATGACCCACTAAACTTAATGACATCCATGTAAATGTAGAAAAAACTGCTGTTGTCCTTCTCTCCCTAGCTGATCTGCACAAGTACTGCTGGAAGGTAGAGAGTGGGGTACCTACTCACTTCCCTCTGTAGGGATGCTCCATGGCACCACTATCACTCTGGCCATATAGCCACCCTATAGGCTGACCAGACACAGCTGAAAGCTGCCATCTCCAGCACACACGATGCTGCCTAAGCACACCACTGGCTCAGGATCATCTTTAGCTGACTAAGCTTTGACTCTGGGGTATGTGAGAACTGTGGGCTCTGTCTTTGTATTCATCAGGAAAATAGCTGTAGTGGTTCATGTTGCTTCTCACCCAGCTGCCAAGTGCCACCTGGGAGAAGTGAGAAAGACCAGTCTTTGGAAGCTTGCAGCACAAGCCCACCATCCTTTACTGCAAGAAACCATGGTGCCAAAGTACAGCCCCAGAGCTGCCTCTTTGTATGGCTGGGCAAGACAAAAGGGCAAGATTTATCGACAGTCACTGGACAGTCAAAAACATGCCTCCAGGCACACACAATCAGGCTCTCTGGACCTCCCCATATGAACAGCACAGGCAGCCCTTGTCCATGGCTGCTCCCCCGTGCTGTTCTGTAAGACAAATGGAGACTCGCCTATGGGCAGGTCTCCTTCAAAACTGGAGACCAAGCTGAAGACCAAAGGATGAAGAATAACTAAAATTGGTAAAGATTTCCTAAGTGCTAAAAGAACATCCTGCTCCTTTTGTGGTACCAAACTTCCAGCTGCATGGTGTAGCTTAGAGTGGCAATAAAACAATCTGTGAAAGCCATTGGCCTGCAATCTAAAAATTGCCAAAAGGTTTCGTTGGTTGCACTGCTCTTTTGTACAATTTGGGAACAAATTCGATGTTTCTGCTTTCTCTTGTAGCATTTGCAATTGGATAGACCTTAGTCGCAGGCCTTAGTCATGGCGCACTGGTTTTCCTGGCACACAGTGCACTCATTTTGTGTTCGATAGGAAGTATTGAGCATTTAAAAACCTGCTCACTAGAGCTAGTGGAAGAGAACATGTTTAACTCATTATGAAATGAATACTGAGTGCATCAGAGCATCTCCAAGCATAGCTGTAGTCATCTCAGAAAGACTTTCAAGACATAATAGACTTCACAGCGACACTATTGATACTTCATTTTATGAGATTACAGTGTATTTCTCATTTATCTCCCTGGGTTTCATTTTGCTGTACACCTCTTCTGTGTTTTCTAACTTACTGATGTGATTGCCAGCAATACAAAAGATTTATTACTTTTTCTTATTTCTACAGATCTCAATACAACATTAGTTCAACTTCAGAATATTTCCTATTTTTGCACAGCTGTAAAAAAGTAAAAGGAAAAAGAAAGAAAACATTTTTCTTTTTGAATATTAGGTAGCAGGCTACATCTAAAAAGCACATATTAGGACAATTGGCAAGAGCGGATTTGAGCTCCCTTTTCTAGTCCCTGGTTCTGTCCACTCTGAAGACTGCTTACAGTTTTAGCATATTCCTTGGGTTTCATGTGGCCCATCTCTTCCATATGCTAGACCCAATTCCTCTGCACCAGAGTAATTTGCTCTAGAGTTGTTACCCCCAAATATTACCACAGTAGCTGACGATGAAGTAAGCAAGGACCAGACCAAATTACAGGGGTTCTGTATAGCTCATTACAATATTTGTTTGGTAATGAATTGCAGTGCTGCTTTGGGGAGTATCTCCCCCTTGTTTTATACCTTTCCTTCTCTTTTGTGGAATGCTGAAAGTTTGCAGATGTTCAACACCTTTTTGACTGATGTTGATTGAATTCTAAAACTCACCTGCAGATGGGAAAGCCTTGCAACTTTTCTTTGGACTGCAAATACAAATTGAGGTTCCAGAATATCTTTCTTGGACTATGGCAGTTAATGACTATATTTTCTGGTGGTATCTTAAAGAGAAAGTACAGGATTTGAGTTCATCCACAATTCTCTTCATCCACAGCATGGAAGGGTCCATTGTGCGCCTGCCAGAGATAGTCTCCTTAAAGAAGAAATACAAAGCCTACCTCTACTTGGACGAAGCTCACAGCATTGGTGCAGTGGGAGCAACGGGCCGAGGAGTTGTGGAGTACTTCGGTATGAATCCTGATGATGTTGATGTATTAATGGGAACGTTCACAAAGAGCTTTGGCGCAGCTGGAGGATACATAGCTGGCAAAAAGGTAAAAGGAAAACACATTTTAACATCAGGGAGGGAAAGCGGGAAGCATCGTCTTATATTTATGATGTGTTTCGTTTCATCTTCTTATTAGGTATCATTATCTTTTTTGCACAGACTGCTTTACAGGAGCACTATTCTAAAGTTAGTACCATTTTTGTCTGGATCCCAAATGCGCATCAGTTAGACTTTCTTATTTTTGTCTCCTATTCATATTATGTAATTTGCTTGGGTCGGGTATTTCTGTGCCATCCTGATGATTGTTGTTTGTCTTGGAAATGTTTAGACACATTGTGGTTGGCTAAATATACTTCACTACATTAATTTGAATGCAGATTGCTCATTACTTTGTTTCACATTTGCAAAGAGTGTGCGGAGCAGCAAGGAGAAATTAAAGCCACAGCTTCATCCACTGATATTAAAATTCCTAAACCGTTGTGGATTGTCATAGTTGCATTTTTTAGGAGGATGGAGAAAGAGGGTTACTGAGGGCCTTTTGCAATAGTAAAATCCATGTCCTCAGTTGCTCTGCATACATTAGCAAAACAACCTCTTGCCAACAACAGATGTCAACAAAAAGTAGAGCACTGGGGGTGTACAAGAAGAGAAAGCGTAATCAGCACCATTGTGAAATGTCATCAGCTTTGTTGCTTGACAGAGATATCAAGTGGTTGCTGATTATTTACCCTTTTCATACCCTGCTGAATGTATTTCTTAAGTAGTTTGCTGAATGAGTAGGAAGCCTGTTTAGACAGCCCATATGGTTGTTGTCATGATAACATTAGTAAACTTAGCACTCGAGTAGAATAAAAGAGCTGTAAGAAGGTATAAAGTGTATGTTTCTTACTGTCTTTTTTGATTTTGCCCCTGGAAAACTTTAAACAGGCTATCATGATACATCAAGAATCAATTTTCTTTGTTTCCTTAGCTTCTTGAATCTGTATGTGAGGGTTTTACTCCCACCAAAGACTTTGTGACTAATGTAGCTGGAAATTACAGAAAGTGCACACCAGTGAAAAGCAGCCTAAAGTAATTAATCATCTAATCCTTGGCAGTTCTCTTAAATGAAAGTGGGTCACTCTTTTCACGCCTCTGTGTGTCACTAAGCTTTGCCTCACGTTTGCAGACCTTAGTAGCAGCTGCTCACCCAACACACTTAGCACTCCTACATTCATTTCTGCAGCCAAAAACTCACTGTGGCAGTGCTTATTCTGCAACAGCTACAGCAAGGAAGCCTTGTCAGCCCTTAGGATTACAATTGCAATATAGCAATGCATAACCTGTATAACATTAGGTAAATCTTTATCCTTAGCATGGGAGTTACTGCATAGACTCATGCAGCTTTTTTTGGCAATAATTTATGTTAGTCTTTAGGGGTTTTTTTTCTGGTGATATTTTTTATCAAAGCCAGTTTTCATTCAAGCCTCCTCCTTTCTCACTAACTTGCATTCAGCTTATAGTGTTGTAACTGTTACTCTGGTATTTTGTATTAGGAGGTATAAGCTGTCGTAATAATGATGGTCTTCATCAAGGGCTCAATTCCTACAGTGTCCGTTTATTCAGTGCTTTTTCTAGGAGCAGATTGTGCTCTCAGTTGTTAACAAGGAAATGTTAAAGCAATTATACCAACTCTAAGATGACTGCCCCTGCCACACTGATGGAAAGTTTCAATTGAAAGAAATTTACATGTTAACAGCCAAAGATAGATCCCAGTAAGGTTGTTTTTCCTGTCTTCTGGCAGAGGAAGTATACTAATGTCATGTAGGCTTTTCTTCATTCCTAGGGAGAAACCAAGCAGTATCTTAAGTGCAGCTGGTCATTGGCCTTTAAATGGTTTTGGCTCCTTTATAATAAGTCTTAGCACAGAAGTAAACATTATTCTACTCCAGACTTTTGTTTCAGCTGCAATTGCCCCACTTACATGGTAAAGTATTTGCACCTGCCTGATGTTTCTTCAGGCCATGTAGTAACAGTAGCAGCCAAGAAAGCAAACCAATAACGAGTGAAACATCCTCTTCCTTTCCCATGTTCTCACTCCGGCAGTAGTTAAGAGGCAGATCTGCTGTTTGGCCAGCTCAAAGCTCATTCATGCTTTGTTTTGCTTGTGTAAGGACCTTGTGGACTTTTTACGAACTCATTCTCACAGTGCTGTGTACGCCACATCTATGTGTCCACCCGTAGCAGAGCAAATCATCAGGGCAATGAAATGTCTCATGGGACAAGATGGAACAACACAAGGTAAGTCACCTTCTTTAACTTCATTGACTGCTACTGCATAGAGCATCTGCTGTGTACAGGGACATAAAAAATGTTATCCAGCAGCATAGTATGGTAATACAACACAAAGGCAGTACTTCTTACTGTAAGATTAATATCCAAATGATCATATTTCTAAGCACTATCAGCTCTCTTTTTCCATGCTCACTCACATAGAGCAGGAATTGAAATATTCTGGAATTCTGGCTCCATAGTTGCCAGCCCAATCTGCACCAACAAATAGAAGTACACAAATTGCCCTTGGAGTAGATTGTCTGCCTTTATAGGAGGGGTTCATAAGAGCATGGCTTCATTTATGGGTTAGATGCTGCCAGCTTAGCTTCTTTGTAAGTGTGAACCTTCAAAATGGCAAGCAACTCAAGCATGGGGCAGAATTTCAAAGCAGGTATTGTATGTTAATATTGTAGTATTAGAAGATGATTGTAATAATTCCTATCTCACTCAGGCATTAATGACGGTATCCTGAAGCTAGTGTTGAAGTACATTTTGTCCCAGAAGAATTGACTACTTGGTGTATTAGATTTATCTGTATTGCCCTCCTGAAGTTGGAGATGCAGCTACCATTCAGTCCTCTGTGTAACATGCTTTCTATGCAGCAAACAACAAAACAACTGTGTGAGAGATCTATCTGCTGCTGTTTCAGAGTGACACTGCTGTGTGCTCAGTGTTCTAGGACTTAAATCCCAACTCAGAGAAAAGCTGGTGCTTTGTGTAGTTTTTGTCAGGAAAACCTAAGAATTGTGTGACTGTGTAACATGCAGTGGGAGATGCGCATTCTGAATTGCAATCTCATTTTTACTGGTTCAGCAGCACTGTGCTGTGCTGTTCTATCTCACCTCTTGTAGGAGTAACAGAGGAATTCTGTATTAGTCCTCCATGATTGATGTGGCTAGGGTAAGGCTGGGGATGGAAAGGCAAAAAAGGCTATATGAGAGCAGGTAAGATGCTGATCTGCACTATTCTGCTGCAGTGCCCTAGAGGGCAGCTTCAAACCGTGACAGACACGAGGTTTATCACAGACGTTTATCACAGCCCTTCAGCGAGGCCAGAATTTACAAGACCCCAGTGTACAAAAGGAGGGATAGAGAATCCAGTCCCATTGCCAAATTCTGCCGAGCGCAATCACAAAGTGCAGCAGAACTCCAGTGCAATGTGTAAACAAGGAGGTCACGATCATAACAAATGATGCTTTTGTCATTTTGGCAGAGGAGTCAGTGTTACAGCTGTTTCCAGCTCGGAATTTGAAAGGTCAGGGTTGAGTGCGCTGATGTCTACATCCTGTTCAATCTAAAGGAGCAGCTCTGACATGTTTCTTCTACCCTGGGGACTAAGCCTGCAGCCTGTCCTGCTGTGCTGCTCGCTGCGCCAGCTATAGGAGATGCTTGCCGTCAGAGGGCGGTCTCAGTCTTACATTGAGCCTGCCCAGGAGTTAGATACTTGGGGCTCTCAGAGATGCCGCATGTAAAGTATTAAACACACAGAGCATTTCCAAACTTTCAAAGCCTCTTAAAAATGATCTTCATCTAGCGTGATTCTGCATGCAGTTCAGTGCAGGCTAATAGGAGAACTTGGTTCAAGAAGGAGCCTTTTAAGATGTGCGTGTCTGACTTAGGGCTGAGAGTTTGCAGCATTTTCTCTTCCAGAAGCATTGTTTAATGACACACTGTTTGTATTTCTGCACAAAATAAGTGCTTATTAAGTCTTCCGCAAATCCTTTATGAAATAAATTAGTGTGCTGTTATTTTTTAAGGATTTGCCTTGTAATACAAAATGCAAATGAACAGAAAAACAAACGAATAAATCATATATCACAACTTAGAGCATTGCACAAAGGCTAGGAAACCGGCTATGATGTGTAAAAATGTCTCTTGTCCTTCCGAGCCAGACTCATTATTTTAGTCTATTGGGTTTTCTTTCATGTGGGCCTCCCTTCATTAGGCTCTCTTGTGGACTACAAAAAAACCCCACAACCCAAAACACAGGAAAAAATGTTGTGCTGGACCACACTCCAGTGCTGCTTTGGCATCAGAGAGGGGAAGGTGGTGGCTTAGAAAGGAGGGGGGAACAGAAGGGAGAGAGCACTGTCTCTTCTTAGATATTTTTGTTTCCAAGGACAACAGCAGCTTTGGCTGAGTCCTTTTGGTCCACTCTCATAGGAAATGGTGAATCCTGCATGTGAGCCATTGTGCTATACAACAAGAGCTGTATAGCAGAGACACCTGGCAGAGGAGTTGCAAGTGAATCAGAATTGCCCCCAGGGTAGTATTGCACCCTTTGTTATCTGGAAGCTTGTTCAGTTGATAAAAGGAGTTTATTTTGCCATTTATTTCAAATGGCATCCTCTTCCTTATGGATGATGTGAGGAATCCTTTATAAGGAGATGTCCACTGACAGCTTGTCCTCTGGAGGGCGTTTCCAAAGGGCAAAAAGGAATGTTTTGGAAGAGAATGAAATTAGAGCTTGCTAAAAAGTTCCATGTTAACTGGAGGGTGCTTCTCGAAAAGAGTGTGAAATAATGGGACAACAAATCTGTTAACCCAGCATGTTCTTACAGCTGAATTTCGTGACTGAGTCCTTGGGAGATGAATAGAAAACTAAGAGAAGGAAAACTGATTTGGCCATTTAAACTGCTGCTCTGAAAACTCTTTATTCTATATTTTTTAGCACTTCGCACAGCATTCTCTTCTATTTTCCCAGGTAGCATGCTTTTACATTCCCTTCAGTTTCTTACTAGTTATTCTCCATTAACTTGTTAAGCAGCTGATCTAGAAAAGAACAGCACAAGTGGAATTATAGAGTAGGTAACACCGGAGACCAGAAATGCAGTGATAGTGCTTGTGTTTATCCTGGTGTGTATCCAATGGATTGGTCTCCCATATGTGCTTCCTCTATTTTCAATTAGTAAGAATATGGTTGTTTGGAAAAGGAATCAGGTTGTGTATTACCAGGACAGGATCAGTATTCTGGAGGCATGACTGCAGGATATGAACAGATGTTTATGGACACAGGGGGTACAGCTTCATTACAAGGAATAGGTTAGCACTTTAAATATAATTCTATAAAACCTTAACTGTTTAGATGGAAATTGTCCAGAGCAGGTGTCTGTTTCAGGCTACAGTTTTCTCATATAACAGGAAAGTTTCAGCCCTTCCACAGGGCTTTGATTATCTAGGGAGAAAAAAGGAGGGGAGGAAAAAAACAATTCCTAACAAAATCCTTTTCTCCTAAAGATCTTTGGTTTCTCCAGGCTTAGGGTGGAAGATTTTGACTGTGGCAGCCAGGTTTGTAATTTTTGCCACGTCTATGAGCTACCATCTGAGTCTTGTGATGGGGATGGACTCTTCATTAGGGACTGTAGTGATAGGGCAAGGGGTAACAGGTTAAAACCTAAACAGGGAAAGTTTAGATTGGATATAAGGAGGAAATTCTTTCCTGTTAGGGTGGTGGGGCACTGGAATAGGTTGCCCAGGGAAGCTGTGAATGCTCCACCCCTGGCAGTGTTCAAGGCCAGGTTGGGCAGAGCCTTGAGTGAGATGGTTTAGTGTGAGGTGTCCCTGCCCATGGCAGGGGGGCTTGGAACTGGATGATCTTAAGGTCCTTTCCAACCCTAACTATTCTATGATTCTGTTACGAATATATAAAAAAAATCTCTGTTTGAGATATATATTGACAAATCTGAAGGTGCACTGAGTGAAGGAGCATCTTCCAGCTCAGCTTGCAGGGGCAAGAACAGAGCATCCACCATCTGTAGCCTAGGCAGATGAGTGGGGCCCTGAGCACCTGCATCCATCCTGCACTGTCAGGCACTTAGGGAGGTGAATTAGGATGATTAAAGAGAGAAGACACTCTGACAAGCACAACAGGGATAACAAGTGGGTGATAAGGATGGAGACTAGGGCCAAAATGAGGTGCTGAGAAGACAGTCTGGAGACACTGTGAACAAATAGGGTCTTGTGTGGGGAAGGAGAGGAAGGACAAATGTGCCTGTAAGAAACTGTAGGAAACACACAACCCTCCAATCCAGTGCTAGTACCTGAGACACTCCTTGCTCATCTCTGCTGTGGAAGGGTCACAGCAAGATGTGTGCTTGCCTCCCTTTGCACTAGGAGACTCCAGTTTGGATGGGGGAGCTCCCATTTTGAAAGCCTTGCACTGACATAAGTAAAAAGATACAGAAAACACACGGTATCTCACAGAAAAACCATCTCTAAAGGTACAGGCATATCCCATAACAATATTTGTGATGGTTGTGAGACATTAACGTCATGATACTGTGACTGGAAGGATACTGCAGACCCCACAGACAGCTATTACAGTTTCCTTCTTTTGCCGTGTTTTCTGCTGTGACTTAAGAAAAATGAGGCACAAGAAATGATGGATTAGGAAAAGATGTTAATTCCCTCAAAACTGGACAGTTGTTTCTGCCGAGGAAAGAGGAGGAGGTTGGGGTCACTATGACCAAGTCCTTTGTTTCTTAAGTGACTATCAGAGGAGTCAGAAACTGACAAAAAATAGCAAATGTATTTCTATTTTCATGTGAAATCATATTTTTAGTAGAGTGCAAGTCCTGGTCTTTTTCAATGCCATGTTTTTTACAGCACACTGAAAATTGACAGCTTGCAGAACCAGACACATGTATTCTTGGTACCATAATGTCATAGATACTATCATAGTTCCTGTTATAGAGTTGTTCTAGTCTTCTGGCAGCTGTATTTGCTTTAGTAATGTCACAAGGCAGCAAGTTCCACAGTTCAGTACATGTAGTCTATTAAAAAAACCCTCATTTTATCCCTCTTAAGCCTTTGTGGCCTTTTCATCTCGAACATGTGCCTCCTCGTTTATTTGGAGATATGGGAAGCAGGAGTTCCCATGGCATTTACTCTTTATAATTCACAATATAGATATTCTCTCTATGTTCTCCTCGTGGCTTCTCATTACACCACTGGAGATACGTCAGGAAA